CAGCAGAATGGGGTTGCTGAGCGCCGCATAGGCCTGGTCATGGAGATCGCCCGCACCTCCCTGACTCACGCCTGTGCCCCCCATTTTCTGTGGCCCTACACGGTCAGGTACGCCGCGCACCAGCTGAACCTCTGGCCACGTGTCTCTCGACCAGAGGTTTCACCGACCAGTCTTTGGACAGGGTCCCCTGGTGTTGCGTCGCGGTTTCGTGTCTGGGGGTGCTTGGCTCTTGTCCGCGACACCTCCGCGGACAAGCTCTCGCCTCGTGCCGTCCCCTGTGTCTTCCTTGGTTTCCCTGAGGACTCCTCTGACTTCACCTTTTACCACCCTCCCTCTCACCGGTTCTTTGACTCCCGTGACGTCCGTTTCGAGGAGTCCACTCCGTACTACGTCAGATACCCCAGTCGAGGTCTCCAGGTTCCTCCTCCCCCCCTCTTCCTGACTGCCGCTCCCCCTCCTGTTCCCCCGGTACAGCCTCCCCCCCTTGGTCCAGCCCCGTCGGGTGTGTCCCAGGCTACCCCTCCTCCTCCGGTAGCCTCTCCGGTACAGCCTCCCTCCCCACAGTCCTCCTCGCAGCGTGTCGCAGGTGCTAGCTCTCCAGAGGTTGGTACTGCGCCTGTTCCTGTACCGGTTTCTGGTTCTGGGGGTGGTGGAGTTGGAGCTGGAGTTGGAGCTGGAGTTGGAGCTGGAGTTGGCACTGGAGTTTTTGGTTCTGGGGGTGCTGGGGTTGGAGCTGGAGTTGGAGCTGGAGTTTCTGGTTCTGGAGTTGGAGCTGACCCGGTGGGTGCAGAGGACTCTTGTCGTCCGGGAGCTGGTGCTGGTCGCGCGGACACTGGGGGTGAGAGTGCGCCTCCTTCGGGTTCTGGTGAGCCTGGGTCTAGAGCTGGTGTTAGTGCTGCCTCTGGGGGTGGTGCGCCTGGTTCTTCGGGGGTGGACTCTGGAGCTACCGCTGCTTCGGACACTACTCCGCCCCCCCACCCCTACCCGACTAGGCACCAGGCTCGTGTTCGCCGTGCCCGTGACGAGCAGCTTGCGTTGGAGAGAGAGGAGAGGGAGTTACAGCGGCTGGAGGAGCAGCAGTAGCAGCTGGAGCCGCAGGAGCAGCAGCAGCAGCAGCTGGACCCGCAGGAGCAGCAGTCCCAGCAGCAGCCGCTTCCGCAGCAGCAGCAGTCGCAGCAGCAGCAGCAGCAGCCACTTCCTCCTCCTGTCTCGGGTCTTCGGACCCTTGGTCTCCCCTCCCCTTCTCCTCCCTCCTCCGCCTCTCCTCCTGTCTACGGTCCCACGTTTCCTCCTCCTGACTCCTCCCCCGCTGTTTTCCCCAGTTCTCCGCCTTTGTCCTCTCCTCCTCCGTCTCGTTCTTGGGCTACTCGTCGCTCCCCTCGTGCTCGTCCCTCGTCTCCTGTTCCCTTCACTGACCTTCGTACTGCCTTCCTTCTTTCTAGTCCACCTCGTCCGTCTCAGTCTGTGCTTCCGTCTCCTCCTGAGTCGGCCCTCACTGTGTCGCTCCCTACTCTTGTCACTGACTACTACCGCACGTACCGTCCTGTTCTCTCTCGTGTTCTCGCCTCTCTTGTTACTCACCCTCGTGCCTCTGTGTCCTCTGTGTCCGCTCTTACTGCCGCAGTTACTGACTTTGCCTCTACCCGCCGCCTTGACTACGCCACCACGCTTGTGGCTGCTCCTCCTACCAGTCCTCTGGCCGTCGGGGGTGTGTCTGCCCTTGGCTGTGACGCCCTAGAGGACAGGCAGTTTGGGCTAGAGTTCCTGGCAGCCGCTTCCCCTCATCTCTGTGCCATGCTCCTCGCCCCTGAGGGTGACCTCGACGCCCTTGACATTCCGACTCCTCGCACTTACGCTGAGGCAGTGTCAGGGCCTTGGGCCTCTCAGTGGAGAGCTGCCATGGACGCAGAGATGGCCTCCTACAGATCCACAGGCACCTACGCCGATGAGGTTCCCCCCCCTGGAGCGAACGTAGTCGACGGCCTGTGGATCTACAGGGTGAAGCGGCCACCGGGATCTCCCCCGGTCTTCAAGGCGCGCTACGTGGCTAGAGGTTTCAGTCAGCGCGAGGGAGTTGACTTCTTTCAGACCTTCGCACCTACCCCGAAGATGACCACTCTTCGGGTGTTACTACACGTAGCAGCACAGAGAGACTACGAGTTACACTCTCTCGACTTCTCCACTGCTTTCCTTCAGGGCAGCCTACACGAGGAGGTCTGGTTGCGTCGTCCCTCGGCCTTCACTGGCACTTTCCCTCCTGGGACCCAGTCGAGGCTGAGGCGACCTGTTTACGGTCTTCGCCAGGCCCCTCGTGAGTGGCACGACACTCTGCGTTCTACCCTCTCTGACCTTGGGTTCCAGCCGTCTTCTGCCGACCCGTCGCTGTTCGTTCGTCGTGGCTCCACACCGTTCTTTGTTCTGGTTTACGTCGACGACCTCGTTTTCGCCACTCCGGATAGGGTTGCTTTGGCAGACGTGAAGTCCGAACTGCAGAAGAGACACACGTGCACTGATCTTGGTGAGCTGCGCCACTACCTTGGCCTGCAGATCACCAGGGACAGAGCCGCTCGCACCATTACACTCTCACAGTCACACATGGTGCAGCAGGTCCTTCAGCGGTTCGGGCTTCAGCACTCCACCGTACAGCGCACACCTCTCGCTGTTGACCACAGACTCACTGGTCCCTTTCCTGACGAGCCGTTTGAGCCTAGTGGTCCCTACGCAGAGCTTGTGGGTTGCCTCATGTACCTGATGACTTGTACTCGCCCGGACCTCGCCTTCCCTCTCAGCATCCTTGCGCGCTTTGTTGCGCCAGGGAGACACCGTCCTGTTCACTGGACGGCAGCTGTGAGGGTGGCAAAGTACCTAGCGACTACATCAGGCGTGGGGCTAGTTCTTGGAGGGCAGCAGTCTGTCGTACTCACTGGTCACTGTGACTCCTCTTACGCTGACGACGCTGAGACTCACAGGTCTACTCAGGGGTACTGTTTCAGTCTGGGTTCTGGAGCTGTTTCCTGGCGTTCCACGCGCTCCTCTTCTGTCTCGACCTCTACAGCTGAGGCTGAGATTTACGCTGGTGCCATGGCGGCACAGGAGTTGCGTTGGTTGACCTTCTTGCTCGCCGACCTTGGTGAGCGGCCGAGCTCTGCACCGACCTTGTTCACTGACAACAAGGCGTCGATCCTCCTCTGTCGTGAGCCGCGACTGGAGAGCAGAGTGAAGCACATTCACGTCAGGTACTTTCTTCTGCGAGAGTTGCAGAGACGTGGACAGGCTCGCTTCGAGTTTGTGGAGTCCGAGGCCAACACTGCAGACATCTTCACCAAGGCGCTTCCGCCTCGTGACCACCAGAGGTGTTGTGTGCAGTTAGGCCTTGTTGACACAGGTTCTAGTCATGTGTAGGCTTGAGTTTATTGCCTGCTTCGTCTGTACTCTTGCTATATATACTTGTGATCTCTTGGACTGGCCTTGTGGCCACTGTTGCTTGTGCTCAGAGAGTGTGGTGACGTTGTGATCCACCCTGAGCTTTGTTTTCTTTTGGACTGGTCTTGTGACCGTACTCTTTTTTTTATTTTGCTAGACACCCCTCACTTAGGCTATGGGGGTGTGTCAAATGTTGTAGCCTGTAGTGAGGTTTGTCTTAGGGGGTACAGAAGTTAGGGTTTGTTATATGTACCCCAACCAACATCAATGGCATCATCATTCCTCATTTTGACAGTCAGCCCTGGAGTAGGGTCATGGGGAAGGGTTTATGACGATTTTAGGCTTCAGGTTGGCGCGGTGAGATTGCATATCTTCCCATGCCAACGTTCTTGCTGCTACTGCTACAAGTCTCCACCACAAGGTCCGAGGTCGTGAAACGATGCTCTGGGTGCTGCTACTTCTTGTGCCAATTTCTTGCCTCTCTGGGCCCTTGTTACCAACATTTCATGCCTGCAGGTGAATGAGCATGCAATGGAACTCGAGCATGCAATGGAACACCCATCCCAGAAAACTTTCCTGCTCGAGGGGCAATCAAGAGCTCATGAAGCAGATTGACTACAGTGACCATTTCTGTCAAGATAAGAGCTTAGAGGCTAGGGTTTGTGAAGAGAGGGTTTGCCAAGAGAAGGGGTTGCACTATAGAATGCAGTACAAGTTATAGGAAAAGGGGGGAGGTGGTGAAGGCAGGTAGACCACCTAAGACAAGATAGGTGATACTACACTAACTAACTAAACATGCAAATATTTAAGAAATACAAAGTCTGACAGTTTCCCCTTATCAGTCCAAGCTTGAGGAAATAGAAATGCAACTGAATAGCTCCTATTCAGATGCCAGCACGAATGTGCGTCTGTATGGCACGGGGATGTCCAGGGGATCCCATGACCTTAAAGAGGCTATGGAACTACTGTGGCGTGGGGCCATGTGGTGTACTCCTCAGCTATGATTTACACGGTGTGCTGCACCGAGTACAAGTGCATACAGTGCAGGTGGTGAGATAGCTCGCTCACCACCCAGTGCTTCTCAGCGTCACTCAGAGTCTCGCCGAACCTGTAATTCTGCTGCTCCTCTACAAGCACACACACCAGATTTGACGGCGTACGCGCTGCCTGATACCCTGCTGGCACCCTTGCAGCGGCAGCACGAGGGCCACGAGTGGCAACAACGCCATGCACTGGCGGTGGTGGCTGTGGCGAATTCAAATCGCGGACCGCGATGGCTTGCAACCTGGACGTGCTACCGCGCTGCTCCAAGGCCTTGCCCTTCCGGGTGGTAGTGATGCAAAAAAAATCAGGTGACAGCAGAATGGTTTCAAAGTTACCATTGGCTTCAACCCAATCAGCAATCCACCTGACACGGGCAGGGCAGGGCCGAGAGCAGCATAGTGTGGAACGTGGGAGGCAGAGAGATGAGGGAATGAGTATGGTGTGAAAAGATGGGAGCTGACGGTTGGACAATTTGGCGATTGATTGTGTAGTGAAATGAAGGGCTTGCTTGGTAAGTGACCATCCATGCAGTATCATGTGGCAATGTGGCATGCTACAGCTCCCGCATTCCCAATTGCACGGAGGTACCCACAAGGGGAGGATGCAGATCGTGCAGGGCACGACGAGTACGAGCACAGTCTGTAAGGAAGGGTGGGGAGAATTGAGAGGGCGGGCAGGGAACAAGGGTGATGCACGGGAGAGAGGAGAACGTAGGGGGTGAAGGGGCGAGAGAGCAGAGGTACAAGCAGGTAAGAGCAATTGGAAGGGGGGAGTTTCTGGTGAAAGGGAATGGGAGGAGAGGGGCTTCCCGTGAGGAGGGGGCCTTGCACGGGAGGAGAGTGACTGGCGAGAAGATCCTTTTAGTACACAGAGAGAGCAGCGCTTCTTACAAGAAATAGGTTGAGGGAATCGTGTCATCGGCTCACCATAAGGAGAGCGGCAAGGCAGACGACGTCGTCCCCCATAAGAGAATCTCCCGGCATGTGCACCTTCAGCGCCCCGCCCTCCACCGGTGATATCACCTGCGGCCACGGTGGAACCGGGTAGGAGTGCAATGGAATGTCATGTCAAAGTGTCATGGCACCAACGCATAGGCATGGCGCGCTGATCATAACAAGCAGGCCTCGTTGGAGATGTCTACTCCTTGTTGTCTGAACCAATGAGTGCGCTGCTGCATGTAAACCCGTCAGCCTACGGGCAAGGCAGCGGAGCGAGGGAAACAGGGAAGACTCTCAACGAGTCCCACGCACAAGAAATGATCTTATCATCACTAGTTCTACTAGCATCACTGTGAGAAACGCGTACCACATTGCTTCCATCGGGTTTAGCGCAACGAGAAGGCCACGGTGACGGCACGGGAATGCCCATAACGGGAGGTGGCGGGACACGCTGGGGGAGAGGCGGAAAATATTGGGGGAGAGGCGGAACGTATTGGGGGAGTGGCGGAACGGGGAGTGACGGGACTTGGAGGAGAGGCGGAACAGGCTGCGGAAGGGAAGCGGCTGCGGTAGGGACGGCATGCGAAGTATTAGCGGTGCTAATCGGAAGCGCAAAGTCCGCTTCAGCTTGCTCGGGCGTTGTAGCCGCCGCCTCTTGATGCATTTCTTGAGCCATGCTTTCCGAGTTAGGTGTTATTCAAGCCCTAATTCCGTCCTACCCTGTTCGGTGTTGTAAAAGACTAAGACTTAGGGACCCCCTGACTGACGAGAAAGCAGACCACCCAGAGAGCGGATAGGGTGCGTCACGTTTAGATGAACGGCTTTTTTTTTTCAGAGTTTGGTCATACAAGGGTTCAGCTCAGATGACAGTACCTTCAAGGGCACTGTAATTGAGCGTGTCCAGCGAAGCCCTTGCTACATGCGACCTGACACACTCATAGTACAGAACTATTGCACGGCGAAATAGCCAGGGTTACTAGCGTTCGCTGAGAAAAACCAGGGTTATCCGGTCTCGCGACCGAAACCATGTAACTTGCTTCTCCACTTGACATGGTTTACGAGCGGCGAGACGTATTTCCGATGGTTGGCATTACGTGCATCACACGTTGAGTTGTCAAACCCAAAATTGTTCGTCAATCAACGCATAGCACTGTTTTTATCTGTTACATGACAGAAACGGGTTACTGATAGGGGAAAGAAATGGGGGAAAAAAAACTCTACATTTTCATCTAACGTAACGCGCCCTTCGCTGGGTCGTGGGAGAAATTGCGGAGGGAGGGAAAAGGCGTGCAGCTTTGACTCAAGAAATGAGCGAGGGAGGGTCAAGTCAAGTTGGCGTATTGGCTGTTGGAATCGTGGTTCGTCGAACCACCCTAGACGGACCAACAGGTTAGGCAGTGGCGTGTGGAAAAGGATCAACGAAAGAAATACAATTGATGCCTGTTTGAGCCCCTCCCGGTTGCCGTGTGAAGGGGGTGTATAAGCTGAATCGTGCATTTCGCATAAGTTTCGTCAATTTGCAGCTAGCTAAAAAGGATTCGCAGGTGCTTATATTAAGTATCTGTAACCTTATCCGTTGACATTTTGACTTCAGTCTCTTCAGTTTGACTTCAGTCTGTTCATTAATATTGGTCCATAACCACGCGACACGCTTGTATCGTGGGTACAACAAGCTGGGGAAAAGACATCGGGTGCAGCGTTTCCATCCGGTATAGGGCAAATTCGCGTGCACTGGTTAGGCATCATATGTACAGCTGCCCAATAGGCTCACGCCACCCTAGACGGCTTCGTTAATTTCGGCAAGGGCGAAATTGGGACTTTTATGAACCTAGAATTTACAATTCCTAAATACATGGAAATTTGGGGATGACATTCTTTGGTGTATTTGGGCACTTGCACAATTGTAGATGTATTCTTCTAGGCACTTGCGCATTTGTAGATGTCTTTTTCTTCATGTTCGATAGAATGTTCTTTTAGACGACGTGTCATTGTCCGTGTTCAAATGCTCAAATGATAGGTTGTGAAGTTAGACTACGTGGGGAAAGCATGGGTTTGTCGGAATCCCAACCATTAGACCATTGGGATAAAATGACTTGTTAAGTAGCGGGTCAGTGCGCCCCTAACCCCCCAGGCCAACGTGCCTGTAACCCTTTCCTAGGATCAATCAGGGATCTTCAGTGGACCTCTGACACCCCCTCGCACTGAGATGCCCGAGGTGCACACACTGGGATTCGAACCCGAGACCTTCGCTCTGATACCATGTCAGAATCCCAACCACTAGACCATTTGGATAAAAGGGCTGTGAGAATAAGCGAACAGGAATGAATGAACTAGCAGTGAAATGAGTACAAGTAGGAAACCCTAGAATTGTGTACCCCCTATAGGCTAACCCACTGTAGCCTACACAAGTATAACATATATAATGTTTGACACACCCCCATAGGCAAAGTGGGGGAGAACAAGAGGTCACAAGACCAGTCAAGCAAAGCAAAGCAAGCTCAGGGTGGATCACAAAGTCACCACACAGTCCGAGCACAAGAGCAGGGCCAGAGGCCAGTTCACATGCAGGAGTACAGACATATATATAAAACTAGACAAGCAAGAGCAAGTATATATATATGTCACAGTACAAGTAAAGTCAAGAGGAGAGCAAGTGAGGCAAGACAGACACAAGACCCAGCTGGGTGCAAAAGCGCTGATGATCACAAGGCGCGAGTGCCTTGGTGAACACATCAGCAGTGTTGGCCTCAGAGGCCACGTACGCAACTCGCAACAGACCACGCTGCTGCAGCTCACGAGCAAGGAAGTAGCGGAGAGCAATGTGCTTCGTTCTGTGCTCCAAGCGCTGCTCTCGCCAGCATGGCCTTGTTGTCTACGTACAGCACTGGAGGAGAACGAGGCGGCTCTCCAAGGTCAGTCAGCAGGTAGGTGAGCCAGCGAAGCTCCTGTGCAGCCATGGCCCCGGCGTAGATCTCAGCCTCACAACTGGAGCCGAGAACCGAAGACGAGCGAGTAGACCGCCACGAGACAGAGCCGGAACCAAGGCTGAAGGTGTAACCCTGTGACGACCGCTGCGTAGCCTGGTCGTCAGCCCAAGAAGCGTCCGCGTGGCCGGTAAGGACCACTGGACTCCGCCCTCCAAGCACAAGCCCCATGCCCGACGTACTGCACAGGTAGCGCAATACCCTCTTCGCTGCAGCCATGTGCTCTGGTCTGTGTCTCCCAGGAGCAACATAGCGTGCAAGAATGCTCAGAGGGTATGCAAGGTCAGGTCGTGTGCGCGTCATCAGGTACATGAGGCAGCCAACAAGCTCTGCATACGGACCACTCGACTCTACGGACTCATCCGAAGGCAGAGCTGAGAGTGAGTGGCGACTAGGCAGAGGAGTGGCCTGAGGCGAGGAGTACGTGAAGCCGAAGCGCTGAAGGACCTGCTGCACCATGTGTGACTGAGTCAAGGTAATGGTGCGGCGTGCTCTGTCCCGAGTGATCTGCAAGCCAAGGTAGCTGCGCAGTTCACCCAGGTCTGTGCACGTGTGTCTCTTCAGCAGCTCGGACTTCACGTAGGCGAGTCCAGCAGTGTCCGCTGTGGCAAAGACCAAGTCGTCGACGTACACGAGGATGTAGAACGGCGGCAGTAAAGTGTCGGTGCGCAGAAACAGCGACGGGTCAGCAGTAGAAGGAGCAAACCCAAGTGCCGCCAGCGTAGTCCTCAGTGTGTCGTGCCACTCACGCGGTGCCTGGCGGAGACCGTAGACTGGCCGTCGGAGGCTCCACTGGGTGCCAGGAGGGAAAGTCCCAGTGAAGCCAGGTGGACGGCGCAGCCAAATCTCCTCGTGCAGGCTACCCTGCAGGAACGCAGTGCTGAAGTCGAGAGAGTGAAGCTCGTAGTCGCGCTGAGCGGCTATGTGCAGCAGCACCCGAAGAGTGGTCATCTTCGGGGTGGGAGAGAAGGTCTGAAAGTAGTCAACTCCCTGCCGCTGACTGAAGCCACGAGCAACGTACCGCGCCTTGAAGACAGGTGGAGAGCCCGGCGGCCGCTTCACCCGGAAGATCCACATGCCACTGACGATGTTCGCCCCAGGAGGGGGAACTGCGTCAACGTAGGTGCCTGTGGACTTCCAGGAAGCCATCTCTGCATCCATAGCTGCCTGCCACTGAGAGGAGTAGGGACCCTCTACGGCCTCCGCGTAAGAACGCGGAGTCGGGATGTCTAGTGCATCCGGGTCTCCCTCAGGGGCAAGCAGTACAGACGCGAGATGAGGTGAAGCAGCCGCTAGACACTGTAACTCCTCCTGTCTGTCCTCTAGGACGTCCGTGCCAAGAGCACACTCACCCCCGACGGACGGAGGACAGACAGACGCAGACTCAGCAACAAGACCAGCAGCGTAGTCGAGACGACAGCGAGCAGCAAAGTCAACGAGCTCAGCGACTAGAGCAGACGCAGCAGTGGACTCAAAAGAGGGGTCGGTGACGACAGTAGCAAGCAGACGCGTGACAGTAGGACTGGCAGCGCGAAGAGAGTCCGACTCAGGGTCGGCAAGCGCAGGAAGAGAGGACTCAGGAGGAGAAGGCAAAGGGGCACGCAGAGGAGCAGTGGACGGACGCAGAGACATCCGGTGCGTGCCAGGGACAGGAGGAGGACGCTGACGCGAACCGCGACCACTAGCGCGAGCAGCACGAACAGGCGACGCGGGACGAGACGCAGGCTCACGACGCTCAGCAAGACCTCCAGTAGGACCAGTGTAAGGAGAGGGAGCAGGCAGAGGAGAGGAAGGCTCCAACAGTGACTGCGACTGGACAGGCTGTGGACACTCTACCGAAGGAGAAAGACCAAGAACCTGCTGTAGGAGCGGAACGAAGTACGGCCGAGGCCGCGCGGCAGCTCCAGACTCAGCAGGGACAGCACCAGCACCCTCAGCGACAGCACCAGCGCCACCAACACCTCCAGCGGCAGGACCTCCAGCAGCACCAGCAGCAGAACCACCGCCAGGACAGACAGCAGTAGTCTCAGCACCAACACCCTCAGCAGCTCCAGCTCCAGTAGGACCCGCAGGCCCAGCAGCTCCGGGACCGGCAGCACCAGCACCCTCGACGGTCGACGAAGCTCCAGCTCCAGCAGCACTCCTCCAGCGGCGAGCAAACCACTCACGCAGCTCCTGTGGAGAGAGGGGCTCCCGGCGAGACGCAGCAGCAGGAGAAACCCCAGGCTCAGCAGCTCCAGATTCAGCACCCCCAGGCACAGCCGCTCCAGACTCAGCACCTCCAGGCTCAGCAGCTCCAGACTCAGCACCCCCCGACTCAGTAGCTCCAGCTCGAGTAGGACCCGCAGGCCCAGCAGCTCCGGGACCGGCAGCACCCTCAGCAGGCGAAGAAGCTCCAGCTCCAGCAGCACGCCTCCAGCGGCGAGCAAACCACTCGCGCAGCACCTGTGGAGAGAGCGGCTCCCGCCGAGACGGAAGAACCGGAGAGCCCCCAGGTCCAGCAGGCGTAGGCTCCGCACCTCCAGGCCCAGCACCCCCAGGCTCAGCAGCTCCTGACGTAGCACCCTCCGGCTCAGCACCCCCCGGCTCAGCACCCCC